TAAAGCATGATACTCTTAATCTCAGGGTCACAGGTTTGAATCCCATGTGGGGCAAAAAGATTCCTGCATTGCAGGGGGTGGGACTAGATGACCTTTGTGGCCCCTTCTAGGATTCTCAGATTCTATGACTGCCTATGACTGTTGGCTCACTTCTGAATCGAGCTAAGGGGACTTCACATGACACTAAAATATGCTTGGATTCACATTAGCATTTCAAGATGAACCTCATCAATGCTGAAAAACTAAAGATTTCCGAAAAGTTACCTGAAAAAGGACCAGATGAAGACATTTTGTTGCCTCAGACAGAACAGCCAATGCCACCCCCCTGATTGGCAGACTTATTTTGGCACCTGAGGCAAAAACTCCCACAAGCATCTCTCTCTCTCTAGCAGTAAAAATGCAAAAATAAATGAAATAACTGACACCCCAAATGCGCTGTCTTAGGCTTCCCTAGGATTCCTTCCCAGACCAGATGATGAGACAGGCAGAAAGTGGACAGAGCTGCGTGTGCCATGCAGCCTTTCATCCCCAAAGCTACCTTGCTGCCCTCAGGTGCACTGAAGGATACTGTCTCTTTGCCAGTATTTAAGGAAGATTCAGCTGCCAGTCTCATCAGCGCCTATATTTGGAAGTGGGGAGAGGTGCCTTCTTGCCCTTCGTCTTGGGTAGCAAAGCATCTTTGACCAATACTGCTGGTAAGCCCTGTTTTCAAGTTGTAGATACGGGCTTTACTCGAACATTCGCTGAACTCCTATGCCTTGGGTTTATTATTATTATTATTATTGGTTTGTCTCATATATTTCAATTTACTCTACCATTATGCTTCAGGATACAGAATAGAATTACCAGTTAAAATAAACCCATGGTAAGTAAGGTCTAGCAAACTACAAATACGCAAAATAGATTATTATTATTTTTTGAAAAAGGAAACAGATTGTACCTAGATTTACTTCAGGTTGGTTTGCTATATAGAAGTTCATTATATGATAATTAAGAGAGGAGAAACACTCAGAGGAAAGACATTGGTGTGTGTTCACATTACCCGCTTAAAACACAGTGAAGTTGCTTTTTTCATCATTACATTTCACAGCTCTTTCCCACCTATCTGTTCACACCAGCACAGCTTCCTTCATTTCTGCTTGTGTGTTCGCACCAGGGGCGCTGTTGGGGGAAGTACGTCTTCGCCCTGTGCCAAGGGGTGCAGAACTTGGCTAGAAATTAATTGGGAATGGCTCCAATTGTTGCGAAGCTGGTTTAAGAAACAACACATCAAGCGCTAGTATTTTGTGTCAAAAGTTTAGGATACCTATATGGTTAGGATAATGCCATGTAAACAAGGATTAAAAACCCAGCACTGGAAACGCAGTAAACGAGAATGTGAACACACCCATTGTTGCAAAACACATTTGTGGTAGAAAAAACGGCACACGGACTAACAGAATGCCTATTGATGTTGCCACCCACTTTCATCTCCTACGATATTGGTCCAGCAATCAATCACCAGAGGCCACAGACATTCGTAATTGGATTATAAAATCAAACTTATCATTTTGTGTCTGCTTGCATAATTATTCTGGCGCTTTAATATTCTTTTAATGATCCCTAATGATGTAATACAAAATAATGGAATTTGTTTCACAGCTACATAACCATTAACAAAACAGATTAACCATAACTAGTACTTTCATAAAAGATCAAGAAGGCAGCCAGAACAACAAGCTGAAATGCCTGCAAGCTGAAATGCCAAACCCTTGTTTTCATCATCTTGTCTTTGCAATTCTGTACTCCGCATGTCGAATGCCACATGTGTTACAGAAACCGTTCAGATAACTTAAGTGTAATCACGGGTAGCATGCTATTGCCACCGCACCCGAGACTATATAGATTGCAATCTTAAACATGCTTACTATAAGTAACAAGAGCAATCCGAATCCTGAATCCCTCCTAGTGCAGGAGGAGGTTTGGATGCATCAGAGGTGTCCCTTTAACCTGACCTGCCTGATTCTCACTGCGAGAAGCAAAGCTACAGGGAACCAGGCGGAGGGCCTTCTTGGTAGTGGCGCCCGCCCTGTGGAACGCCCTCCCATCAGATGTCACAAGAGATAAACAACTACCTAACATTTAGAAGACATCTGAAGGCATCCCTGTTCAGGGAAGTTTTTAATGTGTGACATTTTAATGTATTTTTAATCTTTGTTGGAAGCCACCCAGAGTGGCTGGGGAAACCCAGCCAGATCGGCGGGGTACAAATAATAAATTATTATTATTTATTATTATTCCACCAGTCTCCACCGGCAGGGAAGCTCTGCCACTGAGAAGTATAGTAATGCACCTACAGTGGTACCTCGGGTTAAGTACTTAATTCGTTCCGGAGGTCCGTTCTTAACCTGAAACTGTTCTTAACCTGAAGCACCACTTTAGCTATGGGGCCTCCTGCTGCCGCCGCGCCACCGGAGCCCGATTTCTGTTCTCCTCCTGAAGCAAAGTTCTTAACCCGAGGTACTATTTCTGGTTTAGCAGAGTCTGTAACCTGAAGTGTATGTAACCTGAAGCGTATGTAACCCGAGGTACCACTGTACTCAAATGGTGGGCATGAGTTACCGCAGCAGAAACCCCCAAAACGGGGCCTGGGGGGGAGGCAGAACTAGCTCAGAATGCAACAGACCCAGCACACACCCTGTGCATACAGTTGAAAAATCCAAAAGAAACAATCCCTCGCTGCCTTGGGGTTACAAATCTGATTCCCACCATCGCTGCCTCGCTCTTGCAAAAGTAGTGCTGTTTGCAAACTACGCACAAACACACACACACACACACACACCACTTTGCACACCCCGGAGGCTGTAATGGCAGCACATACATCAGCTTTATAAAACTGTATTTAATATGGAGGTCATGCACAAGGCTGTACAATTGTTTTCATCAGCTGTAACAAAGAAGAGGAAAGAAAGAGGCCACTGTGGACAGATGCTGCTGGCAGAGATGGCGGCTGGCCTTTGTTTATTTATTGATCTATTTATTTATTTATTAATTAAAACTTTTAAAAACATAACAATCTCCCTCCCCCCTCCAAGCTGTCTCTTAAACTCATCCCCCTTCCCTCTTGTTCTCATGCAAAACTGAAAGAAACAGACTTCTTCCTTTTTGTCCCTTGCCTAGCTAGCCTCACCCACAATGGCTGAAGCCAAACCTGCAAGTGACCTGCTTCTTCTGGCATAGGCATAGCATTTGTTCAGGGATGCAATTTTTATTTTCAACAGCTGTTCTTCTTATATATCTGCCCCATCACTCCCCCAAACCACTAAGTATTTTGTTTTGTTTTTAAAAAATACAGTACGTTCAATTTTTGTGCCTAATCTCCCCTCCCTCAAAAATAAATGCTATTTAGGAAAGCGAAACATCCCCTTCCAACGCAGTGCTGCCTACAATACTGCTGGGTTTCTTTAGAATGATCCATTTTTAAAAAACTGGAAACGTTTGTTCTAGACACTGGAGTGGGGAATAAAGGCGCACTTGTGGACATTTTCTGCATGGCATGCGCACAGAATGGGGAAAGGTAGCATGGCAGCGATTGAGAGGAGAGACAAAACTAACAAGTTTGTCCAGTGGCAGACTAGAAATGAAGATCTATGAGGGATAAAACAGAAAATACAGAAGCTAGTGTGCCAATCCTGCACACAGAAAAATCTGCTTGGGCACAGCCTCAGTTCCAGTACTGACACTCTATTGCACTTCTACACACACACAAACACAGATGACATGACTTCCAGTGATGTGTGGGGAGGGAACATACTCCCTGCTTGAAGCATGTTCAACCCTTAGCTCCTATGGCAGTGATGGCCAAACTTGGCCCTCCAGCTGATTTGGGACTGCAACTCCCATCATGCCTAGCTAACAGGACCAGTGATCAGGGATGATGGGAATTGTAGTCCCAAAACAGCTGGAGGGCCAGGTTTGGCCATGACTGTCCTATGGCAATGAATCACCTGTACTTGTCCATTTACTTGACATAAAAGAACCAAAAAATCTCAAAGCAGTTTACATTAAAACATCGCACAAAAACAATCCAGAGTAAAATAAATTCATGCTACAAGGAAAATAAATTCATGCTACAAGGGGGAAAAAAATGCGGGACGCGGGTGGCGCTGTGGGTAAAACCTCAGCGCCTAGGGCTTGCCGATCGAAACGTCGGCGGTTCGAATCCCCGCGGTGGGGTGCGCTCCCACTGCTCGGTCCCAGCGCCTGCCAACCTAGCAGTTCGAAAGCACCCCCAGGTGCAAGTAGATAAATAGGGACCGCTTTCTAGCGGGAAGGTAAACGGCGATTCCGTGTGCGGCTCTGGCTCGCCAGAGAAGCGATGTCACGCTGGCCACGTGACCCGGAAGTGTCTCCGGACAGCGCTGGCCCCCGGCCTCTTGAGTGAGATGGGCGCACAACCCTAGAGTCTGGCAAGACTGGCCCGTACGGGCAGGGGTACCTTTACCTTTACTTTTACAAGGAAAATATTTCAGATCCTTCTTCTAAGTGACATTTCGCTTCACTCTTATTTATTTATCTACTTAATTTATATTTAGCAGTCTCTCTTCTACAATCAGAGCCATAGGGCTGGAAGAGGGTGGTCCTTGAGAGACAATTCAGGCTCAACTTTAAAATGAAAACTTTATTGTAATTCTCATGACTAATAGCTGTTGATAGACCTATCCTCTGTGAATTCGTCTTAACCTTTTAAAAAAACACACATAGATAATGGCAGTAAATTCTAACGGTTAATTAGGCATTGTATGAAGAGGCACCCTGTTTTCTATAACCTGAGCCTACTGCCAACCAATTTATTGGGTCTCCCCCCTCTATTATGAAAAGGGGAGTAAAGCATATATCAGCAATGTACCTTAAAACAATTCAGAACCATTGCATTATTGTGGCTGAGGATGGGCGTTAGTGTTGAAGCAATCTAGGAATTAAGATGAGATTAATAGAAGGGCTGGACTTTGTGCACATACTTGATATCAGCAAAGGCCGTCATCTGCAGTTTCAGCTGGGCAGCAACTTGCTTTATTAACTCCAGACCCTTTTCCTCGCTCAGAGGGCTGTGGAAAGAAAGCAAGAATACACAGAATTACGAAAAATGGAACTCATCAATACTTGAGAGGCTAAAAGCCCCAAAAGAGTTATCACCTTGGAACGGTTAGGCGGTTCGAAGCCAACGCTTAACTGTATTCCTGTCACATAGCAATTGCGATATCGAGGGAAATGGGATCAGGTGCTTCCTCAGGCATGATGAATCACCTGAATTTTCCAGCAATAAGACAAACAATAAGGTGTAAATGGAATTGTTAGGAAGTGTAATGGGCCCAATGATGCAGCGACCAGTTCATCTTGGTCCTCAATGGAAAGGGAAAAAAAAAGTGGGAGGGAGGAAGAGAGCCAGATGAGGTTGGAAACAAACAAATGAATGTCAAATTACAGGGCTCTATGAAGTGGTCACGGAAAGACATTTCTTCTTCAATTCATTTGCTTCTGAAATGAATTCGTGCCCAGCAAAAGGAGGAACAAACATTATAATATTCAAGAACAAACAATAGTGCTAATTACACTGTCCTGAAGAGTGGCTGAGGGTATGGAAGTTAATTTTCCTCTCTCTCTCTCTCTCTCTCTCTCTCTCTGTGTGTGTGTGTGTGTGTGTGTGGTGCTCAAAAAACGTGTCTTTGAGCCTTCTAGTCTTCCTCAATATCATGCTTTTTAATTATATTTTTAATTGGAAACCAGGCAGAGGACCTTCTCGGCAGTGGCACCCTCCCTGTGGAACACCCTGCCATCAGATGTCAAGGAGATAAAGAACTGCACAACTTTTAGAAGACATCTGAAGGCAGCCCTGTATCGGGAAGTTTTTAATGTTTGACGTTTTATTATGTTTTTATACATACTGTAAGCTGCCCAGGTGCACAAGGTATTATTATTATTATTATTATTATTATTATTATTATAGATAGCAATACTTTGCTACCATCATTTGAGAAACAGATTTAGCTGCAAATCAAGATTATAAAGTTACAGGTTTGGTCAGTATCAGCACAGATATCTTCAGTGAATGCTGTTAGTTACTGAGTTTGCTGGGATACACCAGTTTAGCTTCCAGCAAGTGGCAACATATACCAGAAAATAGTGACACTCATAAATTTTGTTTGGGATTGTCAATATTCAATCTGACCCCCACACATTATTTACCTCCATCTATTTATTTACGCAACACACACACGTACTTTCAAATGCAGGGCTGGCTGTATTAGTAAATAATCAGTTTTATTTTATTTTTTAAAAAACCCTGCAAAATAATAATAATTAAAGTCAAGAAAACTACTTTGTATGACTCCTTCAGTTGCAATATTATTGCACTTCCCAAAATTAACATAAAGCAGTCCTTAGGAAATTTATACTTTATAACTTTATCTCATGTATGGCATCAGACGTCAGAGCACATGACTTAAAAATTCAGTGTAGTGGTATTAAGAGTTATATCTGAATTTCATAATAGATTGAAATAGAATGCCACAAAGAAAACAAACAGCACTCGTAGATATCACTCAAGTAAATAACCCATTGGGAGAGCTGGGGTCAAAATAAAACACACAAACACCCCAACACACCAGCCCATCCAGGTTCTTATTTTTAATTACTGCAATACAAAAAATTTCCCACATCACCACCAACCTATTATTAGAAAACAACATACAGTAGATTTTAAATCAGTAGTGTGATGTACAAGTTGCATATTATGCTGAGGAGCACTGCTCTTCACATTTTGTTTAAAGTACCTTTGAATAAACGTGTGCAGTACTCTGAGGGAATATAATATAATAGCTTCTTTGGACCCCAGCTAGAAAAGTAATATTTCTTAATTTCTTCCAAACCTCATGCATCTGCTCCCCAAAAATAATTCAAGGGACACTGTACCATAGGTGGCACTCCCTCTAGGCTAGTATTTAAATGTAGGGTTTTTCCAGACGTGTAATACAATGATGTTTCCGTTTTTTTTTGTTTTTGAAAAGGGTTATTTGAGTATTTCCACAGGGAGGGGAAATGCTGTACCTAGGTTATTCATTAAAAAGTCACCCTTGAATTTCAAGACCAGGTACTGGGGTAGAACTCTTGATTCTTCACAAGTCGCAATGAAAGCAGGGCTGTCACAGGAACTCAGGGGCTTGTGTGTTAATTAGATCCTTCACTCCCGAGGACAGTGGTTCAAATGTGTGTGAGACAAGAGGTGTCAGAAAGTGGAGTGGGCTTCTTTCTCTCCCTCTCTCTCTTTTTAACACTGTAATATTATTTTTGCCCAGAGGTGCAAGAAAAGTCATACAATACGTTGCTGGCATTTCCTTCCTATCATTTGTACGCATAAAACTGTAATATCTCTGCAGGCTACAAAATCAAAACTGAATGTCGAAGCGAGTTGCAAAAGCAACCGCACCAAGGCTGATCAGAGCATTTCGGTGCTAATATCCAGCAGCGTTACAAACACCCTCAGGAAGGCGAGAGGCAGAAATGAACACAATATTGTCATTACACTAGCCTTAATTACTTTTCTGGAGCACAGGTAAGCCCAAATTAAACAACCACACACCAATATACACACACACACACACACACTCTCATTGCAAAAACCCACACAAAAGAAACAACTATCGCAGTCTTTCAGTGATGGGCAGAAAACCTCAGAAACAATTCTGTTGCGTTTAGTATTTATTATTTGTTTTTATTGTGGCAGTGTCTAGGGGGTCCTGTTGGGGGTTCTTGCTATTGGTGTTACTGCCCCAACTGTTTACAATGCTTTAAATGTTTTTAAACGGCTTTTAATCTGTGGGTTTTTTTAATTTGGGTGTTTTTTTTCTTTTTCTTTTAAGGTGTAGAATGTGCCTTGGAAGAGAGGGAGAGCAACAGGGGAGAGCAAGGGTAGGCAAGCAAAGTAGTTCAGAGTAAGGAGAAGCATGGCGTAGAAGGTGGGCACGCTGGGTAAGGGGCACAAGGCACAGGCAGTTGGTGACTGTGCCATGTGCCTGACGCACAGCGTAAATTAATAATGCAGAGTTTTAAAGAATAAAAGCTTTACTGATTTAAAATAAACTTCTTCATAAACAACATGGTTCCAAACAGTTTGGCTGAGATTACATACTGACTCTGTTCACAGCTGAGGCAGACAGACTCTCACGGAATCTTACAGAGAGCACAAAAGAGAAACTGGCTGGCTAAGTCACATGTCAGAGTGACTCAACACTTAGCAGTTAGGCCTGAATAACTTTAGTAGGCCCAAAGGACTGTGCAGGCCCAGCACTTCCCAGCCTGCTTTGCTGCTTCTGCTCTCATGTGTCTTTGTCACATGACAGTGCCTACCTGTGCTCCAACCTGGCGAATTTTGGGTCAGCCAGTCCTGGGGTCTGCAGCTGTTGTTGTCAAATGCCAAGTCAGCTCATAGTAAGACCTTCCTCACCCATGTTCTGATTGTGGATGAGGAGACCGATCTGGTCTGTATCACCGAGACTTGGGTGGATGAGCAGAGTGGGTTGGTCTCAACCAGCTATGCCAACCTGGGTACTCGGTGCAGCATCAGGGCAGACTTAAGGGTAGGGATGTGGAGTTGCTGAGATGTATAGAGATTCTCTCTCTCTCTCTCTCTCTCTCCAGGCTCTCTGTCCAGTTGTGGGAGATCTAGAGAGTGTTCCTGGCATTGGGCAATTGGGACAGATTACGGATTCTCTTGGTTTACCGCCCGCTTTTCTGCCCAGTAGTCTTCCTGCCTGAGCTGACAGAGTTGGTCTCAAGAGTCGGTGTTGAGGACTCCCAGGCTGCTGGTTTGGGGAGACGTCAGCATCCATGTGTAGGTGAGCAATTCAAACTGATCTTGGAAATTTCCATCTGTAGTTTTACAGCTGCACTGAAATACTATCAAACTCAGCAACAACAGCATACAAGTCATATGCATCTGCTCTTTCATTCACACACAAAAGATTTAATGAAACAACTTATCAGGCAACCATGCGTTTCCTCCACACTCCAAAACCTCAGAGTCTGGGTGAGCAGACATTATATTTTTATTCTTAGACCTTATATTTTCAAAATGTAAGAGCTGTCTTCTACCAATCCATTACCCTGGAATTCATCAGCCATTGTGCTTCTTAATCCGTCAATGTATTTAAATCCACGTGGAATTTTAAATCCTCCACATACCCTTGGGGTAGCTCGCTGGGCACTTATTCATGCTCTGAGAAGTAGCCTTTCATACATGATGACTCTCTCTCTCTCTCTTATCATTAAGAACCAGTCTGTAAGTCATAACAAAACTTTGCCCTTTGTGGAAATTTACTTTCCCCAAAACAAAAACAACATGTTTTGCCAAGAAGTGAACTTACAACTTGGAGAGAACAGACTTAGTGGGATTTCCCTAGGTGCAATCTGCAGACTTGTTTTACTCAATATTTGCTTTTGCGAGATCTCTCTTCAAGTGAATGCCACTGTACAAGCCATTGTTGAGAGCTAATTTGGAATGTTTTCTACTTTGGGCCATACTTGCTTTGCAAAGGAAGAATGAAGCGTAAAGTTGAGCAGCCAACCACAGTGAGACTCCCCTTCCCCACTTGCATTGTCTTACTCTTTCTGGTATATGTCACACACAAATTGGGTTGGACCCAATGCCTGGGATTTGAACCTGAAACCTTTTGCACGCAAAACACATTATCTAGCACTGAACGACAGCCCCATATCTCCCCATATACAAATGGATACCTTTTGCCTGTATAGAATACAGCCTTGCAACTTGAACTCTAACTAATTCTTGAATCATTTAAAATTAAAATGTAGAGGAGTTATTGCATGCAGCAACCCACGTGTAAACAGGATTTGTGCTTCATAGCAATGTTGTGGCAGGAATGGATCCTGCAGAGTTCTGTTACCTGAGAGCTCAAACAAGCCTGTAGTAATGATTATTAAGAACACTGCAATTTAACTTCAGCTGGCTCCAATCCATTTCCCCCAGCCTTGTTTCCTCTAAGGCTTTATTAGCTACTGAACATTCATAAGCTTACTTCTGTTTTGACAAGACAGCAAATCTCTGCTTGCCACATTTTGCGCACCTACCTTCCTTCTCTTCCTTCTCCACCGCAAATAGGTGTGAAATTTAAACCTTTTAACTCAAGACAGATTCAAGTCCAGACCAATTTATAAAGCAGATGACACTTTGCAAAAATCAATTTCGGTGGTCAGACTATGAAGGTCAATGGAAATTACATATCATGAGAAAGGTAACAGGAACGTAGGAGTGAAGAAGGGATCCGTTCGCAGGGGCTATTATGGAAATGTGACACCAAATAAGGCTTTAGTAGGGGGGTGGGTCTCATTTCAAATACTTACTGGCTCCACCCACAACAGAGGCAATAAGAGAGTGCTTCCTTATCAGAATTTGCCTTTGCCTGTGATTTATACGACACTTCCATAGTGTTTCCATACTAAATGGAAAACATTCATACATTTTGTTGTTGTTTAGTCATTTAGTCGTGTCCGACTCTTCATGACCCCATGGACCAGAGCACACCAGGCACTCCTGTCTTCCACTGCCTCCCGCAGTTTGGTCAAACTCATGCTGGTAGCTTCGAGAACACTGTCCCACCATCTCGTCCTCTGTCGTCCCCTTCTCCTTGTGCCCTCCAATCTTTCCCAACATCAGTGGTCTTCTCCAGGGAGTCTTCTCTTCTCATGAGGTGGCCAAAGTACTGGAAGCCTCAGCTTCACAATCTGTCCTTCCAGTGAGCACTCACGGATGATTTCCCTAAGAATGGATAGGTTTGATCTTCTTGCACTCCATGGGACTCTCAAGAGTCTCCTCCAGCACCATAATTCAAAAGCATCAATTCTTTGGCGATCAGCCTTCTTTATGGTCCAGCTCTCACTTCCATACATCACTACTGGGAAAACCATAGCTTTAACTATACGGACCTTTGTTGACCATCCACAATCGAGCAGGGCGGGGGGTGGCCAAAAAAATAAAAGACTTCCTGGGACCATTTGCTTCCTTTAACTTAATCTGGAGTCACCAGGCACAATGGGAAGAGGATCAGAGGCAAAAGTAAAATAAGGCTGTAGAGAGTTGTGTGCTTTGGAGCAACAAAAGCATGAATAGCACTGTAAGGAAGCAGGACCATCTGCAATCTCTTAAATGCCTACGGATGCAACAGATGGTGAAAGCATATAGACCTGGTGAGTGTTAATGTTATTAATTTTTAAACCTCTTTAATAGCGAAGTTGTTTTATGATGGTTTTATAACCTCTACTTTGGAAGGGTGGGGGTATGAACTAGATAAATACACAAAAACTGGGGAAATTTTAATCAGTTATTTTCGGGCTTTGGAAGGTTCACTACGGATTTGGAACCTGTAAGTCTATAACTTCCAATTTCCCCCAAAGCTTTGCAAAGATTCTGCAAAGTGTTGAGGTTGAAGCGAATCCCATCCTTTCCCAAGAAATTCAGAAATATACGAGCTCTTCCTACTACATGCTACAGAATGAAATTCCTCTCCAATGGTTATATAAGGTTTCGTTGCTGCTTCTTTGGCTCTGTAATAGGTGTGGATTTGTGTGTGTGTGTGGGGGGTGTTTAAGTGACTTTATTTTCCCACTCGTAAAACACAGCCAGGATTTATTTAGCCAGAAAATATCATAGCTCTAAGTAGACATCTCTGCCGATTCCTAGAAAACAAGAGATGTGAATTCAAAGGTTTTGTAGAATCAATGTGTGACCTTCAACCTTCTTTACTTCTGCAGCCTCCTGATCGTGTGCTTCTCCCCTCTGTATCAATTTTCTCTTTCCTTCTTCACCCCAGTCTTCACCCTTTCTCTCATTGACCTGTATCACCTTCCTCCAGTCTTTCTCTTTGCCCTCCTTGATCCATTTCCTTTATTGAGCTTTTGCCTTCTCCTTTCATATGCCTTTCCTACCCCTATTTTCCAAGGCCTTTCTGCCAGCAATGCCCTTAGAATAAGTGCAGATATGTGCAGTACAAGTGGAATTAGCCTGCCCACCCCAAGCTATTAATATACATTGCCGACTGAGAGGATACCTTTGGAACAAACAATGAATTGCCATTGTTGAATTTTAATATTTCAGTTTGTTGTGTTGTTACCACTCTTCCTTTCCTTAACTCCTTGTCAGGGCTGGAGTCAAACATGGGTCAGCAAGCAAGAAGCAAAGTTTGTCAGAGAAGTTATTCAAAGAAACAGCATACTGCTCAGCAACACTTCCCAGCACGTCTTGCCCCTATAGAGCAGTTGCCAGGACTGACGATCTCCGCCTCCAGCTCCCTCTAAGGCTCCTCCTTTCTCAGATGTTTCCTAAGCAGTCTCAAACTGTGTCTGGACAGCTCTAATATCTCTTCTGCTCGATGCATCACTCTGCTTGTCCTTGGAGAGAATCAAGGAGAGGCAGGCTCCCTGTATTATTCTGAAGGCTCTTATCCCCACTCCTCTGCTTCATCCTCTGAGTCTGAAATGCTCCCTGTCACAGGCTCTCCCTCTTCACAAAACCCTGTTGCCCCTTCAGCATCCAACAGCTCTTCCTACACTTCTCCCTCTGACCTCTTCTCGGTGTTCCACCACCAATCTCAGGGCATTGAGCCTTCCTCCTCTGGGGTTTCCCTTGAGGGTTCCCTGGCTGCTGTCTCCAACCACTCCTCATCCAGCCAGCCAGCCAGTCCCCGACACGTCAGTGGAGGCTAGTCGATTAGGGTGCGTATTTCTATCCCAATGCCCATGAGGGCCTTTTTTGGTGCCAAGCTCTGAGCTTTCATTTTTTTTTAAAAAAGTCTCTAGCTCTTCTGGAAGGAAAGTTATGGAGAATAACTTATGCACATTTAACCTGTATGCTTTTGGATTTACTATAGGGGATGGTGTAGCATCCATATCATGGACTGAGATCAAATTCTGCAGGAAGGACCAGCATACAGGGTCCGTTTTGAACACTTTCCACCCAAAATAAAATGCTGAAGCAGCACCTGAGAGGATTTGCCAGACAAATGTCTATACTGAAACTGTTAACTCAGCCCTAAGATTAGCACCAGTGCTTACTATGGATCAGTACAGGTCACTGAAAGGTCACTCAACAAAAAGCAGGAGTGACCTATTTGTTCTAACTACAGTGGTACCTCGGGTTAAGAACTTAATTCGTTCCAGAGGTCCGTTCTTAACCTGAAACTGTCCTTAACCTGAGACACCACTTTAGCTAATGGGGCTTCCCACTGCTGCTGCACTGCCACCGCGCAATTTCTGTTCTCATCCTGAAGCAAAGTTCTTAACCCGAGATACTATTTCTGGGTTAGCAGAGTCTGTAACCTGAAGCGTCTGTAACCCGAGGTACCACTGTACTGATAAGCAGGCTGCCATTTTGACAAATCTTCAAAACTATCACAGATCACTTCTTTGGGAACTTTTGAGGAAAATATTTGTCTCTGCTCCATGACACAATTAAAATACCTGGTCTTCGCAGTACAGTGAAGCAATCTCCTTGGATCAAGGCTCTGGAGCCAACAAAAACACACACACACTGAGAGTCCAAGTGTGAATGAATCACCTCTGACATCTTTCTAACCATACTGCTGAGTGCAATCCCCCCCCCGCCCCCAGTTACATCTGAAATCACAAAGTGAAAAAGAACTCCAAGCTATTAACCTCTGTGCATGAATATGCAAGACCCCTTTTACCAACAGAGGGTTCGTTTCTGCTGAAAGGATTTTGTTCCTTTATTATAGCCACTTCGGCTAATAAAATTCTGACAAGCAGGGAGCACAATGTACAGTTTCAATAAAGCAAGAGATGATTATAGGAATAAACGGTATTAAAAATAAAAAAAAGCTTTGGACTCCAGGTATCATTTTTAGTTGCGTTCTATTGCTTTCTTTATCTCTCGCGAGCTGTGTTTTTGCTTTTTTGTTTTAAAAGAAAAAAAACTTGCTTACAACTGCATAGCTTTGACATCCTTGAACTATGAAAATGTCAAGAGTGTCTATGTTACATATATTTCCATAATTCAGAGAAATTAAACCTCTACCAAATTTCAGCTGGGGAATTGGTCTTGATAATAAAGGAATAAGCTTTGCTTGCTCCAGGCCTCTATGCTGCAAACCTCTCTCTCTCTCCACTCTCTATTTAATCTTAAGGTCCTTCTCCAAACTGACACTAACCATTGAATGTAACTTAACCTTACAGCTTCTCTTCCAGCTGCCTGTGCTCTACGCTCTACCACCATCCTTCTTTGCTTCTTGCTATCACACTGCTCCTTTCCGCATATCTGAAAGAGCAACTGGACCACGACAGACCACTTGGCCCCATAATCTACCAGTTAACTCGTCTCTGTTATCATCTCCCTCCATTCTTTTACTCTCCAGTCAAAACAGGCCCTCTTCAAATCCATGTTACTTAAGGCTTTGTTGTTGTTTAGTCATGTCCGACTCTTCGTGACCCCATGGACCAGAGCATGCCAGGCACTCCTGTCTTCCACTGCCTCCCGCAGTTTGGTCAAACTCATGCTGGTAGCTTTGAGAACACTGTCCAAACCATCTCATCCTCTGTTGTCCCCTTCTCCTTGTGCCCTCCATCTTTCCCAACATCAGGGTCTTTTCCAGGGAGTCTTCTCTTCTCACGAGGTGGCCAAAGTATTGGAGCCTCAGCTTTATGATCTGTCCTTCCAGTGAGCACTCAGGGCTGATTTCCTTCAGAATGGATAGGCCTGATCTTCTTGCGGTCCATGGAACTCTCAAGGGTCTCCTCCAGCACCATAATTCAAAAGCATCAATTCTTCAGCAATCAGCCTTCTTTATGGTCCAGCTCTCACTTCCATACATCACTACTGGGAAAACCATGGCTTTAACTATACGGACCTTTGTTGGCAAGGTGATGTCTTAAGGCTACTTTGTGCTTAGATTTAGAACATATAGTAGCAGCTGGGATAGCTCAGTTGGTAGGTGGCATGAGACCCTTAATCTCAAGGTTGTGGATTCGAACCCCACCTTGGGCAAAATATTCCTGCATTGCAGGGGTCTGGATGAGATGACCCTCGTGGTTCCCTTCCAACTCTACAAATTCTATGATTTGGTGTATGACTCTGAAATGTATGGAGGGGTGTCTGCACATTTCTTTCTGATGAGAAGCAGGGGGTCAATCATGGTTCCTAGGCGGGGGAAATTATATGAACCTACAGAAAAATGATCTAAATAAATAGAAGTTGTTGTTAAGTGCATTCAGCACACCCCTTTGGTAGGAATAGGGAACCTGCAGCTCTTGATACAGATAGGTAGCTGTGTTGGTCTGCCATAGTCAAAACAAAACAAAATTCCTTCCAGTAGCACCTTAAAGACCAACTAAGTTAGTTCTTGGTATGAGCTTTCGTGTGCATGCACACTTCTTCAGATACCAAGATGCAGCTCTTGAGTTGTTGTTGGACTTCAGCTTCCATCTACTTCACACATGGTCTGTGGGCAGAGTCATAGGAGTTGTGGATCAGCACCATCAGGAGGTCCACAGGTGTCCTGGCCCTCCACCATAGTTAGAAAAAACCATATGTTTCCAGTCCTTCATGGATTGGATAGCTCAGTCTGTAGAGCACAGTATTCTTAATCTAAGGGTTGTGGGTTTGAGCATTGCAGGGAAACTTGTGGTCCCTTCCAACTCTACAATTCTATGAGTCTAGGTTTTCTGCTCAGAAGGTAAACAGGGCATTATTAACACACCCAGAAGTTTTATTTTCTTTTGTTTTTTTAAAGAACTGAGGAAAAACTTGGACAAGCTCAGTGGTTTACTTAAAATATCCTGGTGACAACTATCTATCTGTTCCGGGGTCCCTTTCCCCCAGCAGCCTTACATTACAGAGCACAGCAGCATGTATTAAATTGTTCAGGCAGTATTTCTGGAAGCCAAGGTAAAATAAGCAAACTTGAATTCCACAACCTATCTGCCTATAAACAGAAGAATGTTCCCAGCACCAATTGTATCAGCAGTACACTGACCAGGGCTCAACTGCTTAAATGAAGAGATGCACACAGCCCAATCCTAGATATGTTTGGCAAGACGAAAGCCTTGATGAGTTCAGTAGAGTTTACTCCTTAGTAGGCATTTGATTTTAGCATTTGTCTTGCCTACAACAGCAGTGCTGCTTCCAATATTTACCGCAGGAAAATTGGGCCAAGAATCCTAATGTACAACATTCATCATATTTTGCACTGTGAAGCCTAATATTCAAAGAGCACATCTGTAAAACCATTAATACTGCTACTAATGTACTCTGCAGTCCACAAGGCCACCAAAGGACAGTATGAGAAGCAGATAAATGGCCTTCATTTTATGTATTTTCACAGGAAATGTAGAAGGTCTGGCTTTTCTGTCAAAGCAGTTCAGGGAGATAGTAGCTAACAAAAACGCATTTGGGTGACTTTTTTTTTAAAAAAAAGTTTTTAAAAGATATCACACTGATAAGGTCATTTTAAATTTTACTCTTAGCTTTGAAATGGATGTTGCAGGTTTTACATTACAGTATTTGCTGTTCTAGTATTTTGAACTACAGACATGGTTTCTTGGATGTTACTGTGAGCTGCTTGGATGTCTAGCAGACCTGGGGGCCCATACATTCGAAAAATTAAATAAATATTTCAGTATTCACAAATAACCTATTTTAACCATTCTATATTTTAAACACACATATATGCACACAAACACAAATTTATACTTACTCTTTCTCTGTCACAATGTATCCATATTCGTCCTCTTTAGAAGGCTTGGCATCCAGCTGAAGGCCTTCTCCCAATTTTTTCTGAGTTTCTTCATAGACAGTTTTATCCTGAATCAAAGTATTCTTAATCCAGTGATGAAGCTCCGTCAGCTCTTGAGAGTTAGGTTCCGACTCAGCTTTCTTTTCAGCTATCAACTCCCTGGAGAATGTTTCGCTCTTCACATTTTCAACCCCAACCTTCACTTCCTCAGAGGAAGAGGAGGAGAGATCTAAATCCTCCGACTTCTTCATTTCTGTTTTAAAAGATTCTTTGGACATAGGCTCCCTAAGAAGATTTTCAGTTGCGATATCCTCATTCAGGAAATCAAGTAGTTTTTTACTCAAATGGTTCTCCTATATTACAAAAACAAAAAACAGTGTCATTCATAACAATTTTGAACACGCATTAATGGGGTAAAGGTAAAGGGACCCCTGACCATAAGGTCCAGTCGTGGCCGACTCTGGGGTTGCGGTGCTCATCTCGCTTTACTGGCCGAGGGAGCCGGCATACAGCTTCCAGGTCATGTGGCCAGCATGACTAAGCCGCTTCTGGCGAACCAGAGCAGTGCACGGAAACGCCGTTTACCTTCCCGCCAGAACGGTACCTATTTATCTACTTGCACTTTGACGTGCTTTCGAACTGCTAGGTTGGCAGGAGCAGGGACCAATTAACGGGAGCTCACCCCGTTGCGGGGATTCGAACCGCCAACCTTCTGATCAGCAAGTCCTAGGCTCTGTGGTTTAACCCACAGCGCCACCTGCATCCCTCATTAATGGGGTATCTATGTGAAATTCAAGGGCACAAAACTAATAGAATCCTGAAGCTATACTAAGTACATGAGTAGACACTGTTGTCCACTTATGAAAGATGAAAACTAGAAATCACTTTAGCCTGGGGTGCAACTTTTGACAGCTCTTAGATTGCAGCTTAGAAAATGTTTCCGGTATTTCCCCCGAAACTGCTTTTCTCTTCTTAAATTTGACTGATCTCAAGAGGCTTCATCTTTTGGAAGCACTGAAGTATGTCTAAACCTAAAGCATTATCATTAATTTCTTTTTGCCCAGCCTTATGTTACACGAAGGAGCCCTAGACATCCCTGTTTGACGCAGTTCAAGTCTTCCTGCTGACAGTGGCATGAGGCCACCAGGTCTTTCCACCAAGTTATGATTTCTAATTCTGGGTCTTTCAAATCAGCTAGCCTTGAGATGTAGAAACAGCCCCATCACTTAGTCTAAATTCTTAACTCTTTGGAGGGGGGAACTGTCTAAGACCAAATTTTGGATTCTTCTTCTGCTTTGTGTTTCAGAAACATGACTTGAAATTCAATTAAAATCTGCTGTGAAGTTCCATTCCCATGCAACTTGATAGGTGGTGTTAAGAACAGCACAATAGGGACACGGGTGGCGCTGTGGTCTAAACCACTGAGGCTCTTGGTTCCTGATCGGAAGATTGGCGGTTCGAATCCCTACCAATTGGAGTGAGCTCCCGTTGCTCTGTCCCAGGTGCTGCCAACCTAGCAGTTCGAAAGCACACTAGTGCAAGTAGATAAATAGGTACCGATGTGACAGGAAGGTAAACGGCGTTTCTGTGCTCTCTGGCTTACGTCACGGTGTCCCGTTGCACCAGAAGCGGTTTAGTCATGCTGGCCACATGACCTGGAAAGCTGTGGACAAATGCCAGCTCCCTCGGCCTGAAGCGAGATGAGCACCACAACCCCATAGTTGCCTTTGATTGGACTCCTTCATTTCAAGCCCCATACACCTTAATTTTTCATGCATGGAAATCTTAAGTCAAGGGATGCCTGGGAGAAATCCAAGCCCCAATAAACTCTTCTGGGAAGCTAAGCTCATTTCTGTTTACACCCCTTTTCTGTAAAATCAAGGGCACACATCATAACTTCAATAAAGGTGTGTACAGTTCACATGAACCAAAGCTGGATTTTAAACAATGTTATTATTAAACGGCGTTTCCGTGCACTACTCTGGTTCGCCAGAAGCGGCTTAGTCATGCTGGCCACATGACCTGGAAGCTGTATGCCGGCTCCCTCAGCCAGTAAAGCGAGATGAGCACCGCAACCCTAGAGTCGGCCATGACTGGATATATTTTAAACAGATTATTGTTTTATTGTTTTTAGATATCTTATATGCTTTAATTGGTTATTTTTTTAAATAAAAATGTGTTTTAGGCGCATCCAGTATGTGCGCGGCCGTACACACGTGCATTGCGCCAAACCCAGAAGTGACCTGAAAATGTCATAAAGATGTCACAAAAAGGTGCGGAACAGGGTGGGGCAGGGCTGCCTTATATTTTTGCCACCATGGGCAGCATATAAATTTAATAAAGGAACAAACTAGCAAATTTAATAAAGGAACAAACTAGCAAATTTAATAAAGGAACAAACTAGCAAATTAATCATACGGTTTTTAGAGGTGAATGAAAATGCTACTCTGAATTTTGCTGGTGCATTTGTTGGGATTCGCAGGATACTGGATAAGTCTGCAGGCTTCGACAGGATGATGCAATACTCTGCTGGGTCAGAGTGACTCAGCAGGAGTGTGATTAGTGTAATTGGCTATCACCTGTTTTAAAAAGGAAAGCCTGTTTAACAGGGTGTGTGGTGGTTGTGCTGTAGTGTGGTGGTGCTGTCGTGGAGAGTATTCGTTTGTAAGTACTCTGTATGGACTGTTTCTTTTGTAAATACCTGTATAAAGCTCACATTAAAAAGGACTGCACTGAAAAACCTGGAACTCTTAATGCTTTGCTGAAAACGCCGCGTGGAATACGCGACAGGGTTATGGGCCCAGCACGCTTCCGCTGCGCAAGAGTACAGGTGGCAGTTATCTAGCCGTGGGTGCTGGAGGTGAGCTGCAGGGATGGAGCAGTCCAGAACTGGCGTGTTGCTGGAGAAGCTGACGGCCACGAACTACAGCATCTGGTCGGTCCGCATGCAACACTTCCTCAAGCGTGAGGGCCTGTGGAAAGTGGTGGAAGAGCCACCGCAGCCCCCTGAGGAGGATGAGGACGACGATGAAAAGCTGGCACTAGCAGAGGCCCAGCTTGAAAAGGATGAGAAAGCTTTGGCTACGATCATCCTTGGAGTGGACGACAGCCAGCTAGTCTACGTAGCTGATAAGGTGACGGCAAGTGAGGCGTGGAATGCGCTCAAGGCTGTCCATGTGCGAGAGACGGCTGGCTCACTGATAACACTGACCAGGAGACTGTACCGGTGTCGGAAGAAACCGGGGGACTCCCTGGTAAACCACCTAAAATTCCTAACAGGCTGTTTCCAGGAGCTAGCCTTAAGAGGGAGGCCTGTGGGGGAAGAGGACAAAGTCTTTATAGTCCTGAGTTCCCTTGATGACAGCTATGATATGCTGGTCAACTCCCTAGAGTCTGTAGAGACTGATAAACTGACTCTGGAATACGTGACCGGACGGTTGTATGCAGAGGAGGACAGGCGTGCAGAGCGAAAGATGACCTCAGCCCAGCTGTTGGAGCATCCCAGAGGGAACAACAGCCGGGAAGAGCAGAGGTGTCGGGAGCCGGAGAAACAGCCAGGAGGAGCTGCTGCAGACCAACCGGTGGTCAACAAAGTAAAAAGGTGTTTTTGCTGCAAGTCCAGTGGACATCTGCTGCGGGACTGCCCGAGAAAACAACAAAAACAGCGGAAGCACAAGTGGCAGCAGAGGGAGTCTACCGCTTGGGTGTCTGCAGATGGTCAAGAAAATGAGGAGCTGTGGGTTCTGGACAGTGGAGCTTCTCAAACCTTTTGTAAAAGAAAAGGACTGCTAACTGATGCTAGGGCTTCAAACAAAAAACATGTAAGTCTTGCTACGGGCCAGAAAGCTAATGTGGTTTGTGAGGGGGAGGTTGTGTTCCCACAGCTGGGACACACATTCAGGAATGTATTGTGTGTGCCTAGTTTGCAAAACAATCTCCTGAGCATTCCTGATTTGGCAAAAGCAGGCTTTGAAGTAAATTTTGTGGGAGACCAGTGCCAGATAAAGCAAAATGGGGCAGTGTTGGCAAATGCTAGCCTTAGAACTAATATGTATGTACTGCAGTGTGAATCTAAGGTTGCAAATGTGCAAAATGTCCCGGCCCATGATATGTGTATTCATCTCCTGCACAGGCGTCTGGCTCATGCTAGCTATAAGGTGCTAAACAAAACATTGGAGTTGTGTGGGGGGATGAAAAACATAAAAAGTTGTGATAATTACTTAGACTGCAATATCTGCAAGGAAGTTAAAAGCAGGGCTTGCCCAGTAGCAAGAGCAAGCCAGAGAGAAACCAAAAAACCACTGGAGTTGATCCATGCTGATGTAACTGGTCCTTTTCCACCTAGTGTCTCCCACAACAAGTACTGTTTGATCCTAGTGGATGATTTTTCTAGATTTGGCTGGGTCTATCCATTAAAGCAGAAGTCTGACGTTGCCCAAACTTTGAAGTTCTGGGTAAGAAGGGTAGAAAGGCAACTTGGTGAAAAGGTGTCCTCTATTCAATCAGACAGGGGAGGGGAGTTTATGGCAAGCTCCCTAAGAAACTGGTTGCGTTCCCAAGGGATTAAACATAGGCTTACCAATGTGGCCACGCCTCAGGAGAACGGAGTAGCAGAGCGTAGGGGAGGTGTCTTGCAGACACAAATGAAAGCATTGTTAGCAGATGCAAATCTTCCAATTAAGTACTGGGCTGAAAGTATTAAGACCGCGAATTATATTGGGAATCGCTTGTGGTCAAGGGTACTAGATGACATACCCTATAAAATTCTCTATAACAAAAGTCCCAGTTTGCAACATTTAAGAATCTTTGGGACAAAGGCATGGGTTGACATACCTGTGAAAAACCGAAGAAAAGGTGGGAAAAGGGCACAGCAGTTGCTATTTCTTGGGTATGAAAGTGGTACGAAAGCCTACAGGTTTGAAGATGATAAAAACCTTTTGAGTTATAGTCGATCAGCCAGCTTTAATGAGCAAAGAAATTGGCCCAAGATACATGCAAACCTGCTGCCAGAAAAAGTTTTACTGCCGAGCATACCTGATAAGGCAGCTGAAACAAAGCTAAGAATTGGCAGCTCTCCCAGAGAAACTGAAAGGGAGGAAGTAAAGGTTGAGCATTTTTCTCCAGCTGCTAGCATGGAGCAGGGGAGAGAAGAAAGTGCAACAGGGACAGGAGGAGGTAGATCTCCAGAGTCAATCCACCCCAAAAGCAGTCCTGAAGGTAGCCCAGGGGGTGAGATTAATGAACCAAGGAGGTCTGCAAGAAGTAATAAAGGTCAACCTCCAGACCGTTATGGGTTCCCAGCCACCATAAACCAGGTTTGTGTAACTGAGCCAGAAAACTTTGAAGAAGTGCAAGAGTTACCTACTCTAGAGAAAGAGGCGTGGTTAAAGGCAATGCAGGCAGAGTATAACTCTCTGCTAAACAACAATGTGTTTGTACCTACAGAATTGCCTGAAGGTAAAAAGCCCATAAGCTGTAAGTGGGTTTTTAAAGTGAAAAAGCTGGCTGATGGTAGTTGTCAGAGGAAAGCCAGGTTGGTTGCACGGGGCTTTACACAGAGGAAAATGATACATTATGATGAAGTGTTTGCCCCAACAGCAAAGGCTGAAACAGTAAAATCAGTTTTAGCAATGGCAAGTCTGAGAGGGTTAAAAGTTAATCATTTTGATGTTGCCTCAGCATATTTAAATGCTCCTATTGACGCCGAGGTATATTTACAGCAAATACCAGGTTATGAGCTAGAAAAAGACAGCATGGTGTTAAAACTGCAAAGGGCACTATACGGTTTACACCAAAGTGCACGTCTATGGCATGAATGCATAGACACAACTTTGAAAAAGATGGGATTCAAACAAAGCCTGGCTGATTCCTGTTTATATTCAGCAAAGGTGCAAGGAAGTGTTTGTTATTTACTTTTGTATGTTGATGATATCTGTCTAATAACAACTGCACAAAAGCAAGTGTCTTGGTTTATAAACAGCCTAGGTAACAAATACAAACTGAAGTATTTGGGAGAGATTAAGAATTACTTAGGAGTAGAGGTTCAGAGAAATGAAGAGGGCGTTTACTCTCTGAGTCAGAAGGAAAAAATCGAAAAGTTACTGAAGACATATGGAATGGAGAGGGCAAATGAGGTTGACACTCCCATAACTACCCAGTACAAACATGAACCAGAAGGGCAAAAATGTGAGAATGCAACAGCGTTTCATTCTCTGTTGGGTTCTCTGTTATATTTAAGTTGTTGGACAAGACCCGACATAACATTGGCAGTGCACATGTTAAGCCAAAGAAGTGCAGACCCGGCTCAGAGAGATTGGGTAGCACTTAAAAGAATCCTAAGGTATCTGAAAGGCACAAAAGATTACAAACTGGTGCTGGATACAGGACATGATCAGCAAGTGTATGCATACGCTGATGCCAGCTGGGGAGACAGAGAAAATGGAAAGTCTACCACTGGCTATGCCATATATATTGGAAATGCCCTGGTTCAGTGGAAATCCCAGAAACAAACATTTGTTGCCACAAGTACTTGTGAAGCAGAGTACTCAGCCATAAGCGAATGTGTATCACAAATAGAGTGGTTTGCTTGCCTAACAAAAGAGCTTGGAATACCTTCTGAAATGCCAATCACTGTGCTAAGTGACAACATGGCTGCACAACAGCTTGCTAACCAACAGAACTTTAAGAGCAAGAGTAAACATATTGCGATAAGATACGGAAATGTGAAAAATGCTTTGGAAAGAAATGTGTTAAAGGTACAGCACTGTAACACAAAATGTAATGTGGCAGATTTGTATACAAAATGTTTGGATGCTCCTAAATTTCGAGACTTAAGAGAATTATTGGGTCTCAAGCCTTTGACTTAAGGAGGAGTGTTGGGATTCGCAGGATACTGGATAAGTCTGCAGGCTTCGACAGGATGATGCAATACTCTGCTGGGTCAGAGTGACTCAGCAGGAGTGTGATTAGTGTAATTGGCTATCACCTGTTTTAAAAAGGAAAGCCTGTTTAACAGGGGTGTGGTGGTTGTGCTGTAGTGTGGTGGTGCTGTCGTGGAGAGTATTCGTTTGTAAGTACTCTGTATGGACTGTTTCTTTTGTAAATACCTGTATAAAGCTCACATTAAAAAGGACTGCACTGAAAAACCTGGAACTCTTAATGCTTTGCTGAAAACGCCGCGTGGAATACGCGACAGCATTCACAGGTGGTGAATTGGAGGGGGTGGCATTCACTGATTTGGGGGGGGGGTAAAGGAGCAATACTGGCGAGTGACAAAACAGAAAATTTCCCCCCCACTAGCTGCTGCTAATGCCCCCACTCCCACTGTCTGAAATCCACTGATGGTTGCAAGTGCACCTCGGTCTGTGTTCCATTGTTGTCACTATGTTGTAAACTGAACCTCAATTATTTTTATTACATTATATTTAGCACATCTCGTATGACGAGCATTTGGTGCGATTGATTGTCGATATTTATATTTAAACATGCAATTTACCTCGTTTTTAGTCCTGGCATCTTCATTCTGTGCCCCTTCATCTGTGGGAACATTGAACAAGCATGTGTTGTGGGACATTATAGAACATTACTTGTGTAATGCAGACACTGCTGTACTGGCTTTGCTTTTCTATAGATTGTGGTGTTATTTACTGTACATTAAACATTAAGATGTTGCCGCTGAAAGGCGAAAGTAAAAGCATAGATCAGGTTTGTCACTTTGACTCCATTTGGACAGCTTGCTAATGGAAGATCAATGGAGGCAGTACTGTAAGAGTGCATTATATTAATTAGTTCAATAGTATGGCGACGAATTTACCTCTGTTTACCAGTGCCTTAAAAAAAAAAATCAATACCATGTTTTCTGCTAGCATAAAAATAATGGCTACAGTAATAAATGCAGAAAGGCAACAGATTTACGTTTCAGGCACTTTTCAGGGAAAAATGGATTTCATGTGCTCATCTAATCCTTTATTTTAATAAAGTAGGCACTTCAAAATAATGGTTTCTCCGTTATTGTGACTACTCAGAGGTAAATACAGGATACTGAATTGCCTGTTTTAGGATAGGAACAGGAAGCCTTTGTGAGGCTTATAAGCACGAAAAACAGATTTTTGTGCATCTTTCACATGAGTCACAAAATGACCTAACAATGGACCTGTTCACATCTCATTTTTATCCACAGCAATGAACTCAGACACTTTTAAATGATCCACATGTAAATCAATGTGCTGTTTACATCTTTCCTGTCACATGCATCTGCATGCACCTATTTGATCAATGAACACAAGGTGCTGTGAGGCTTAATAAGAGGACTAATTACCTGTGTGAGAGTGGGACGAGGAAACTGAATTCAGGAACACACAGGCCACTCTTACTGGATGGTACATGGTGTTTTTTTTAATCAGGCCTCAAAACTATGAGTTCTCCAAAACAAATTAGTACCATGTCTGCCCTACTTTTCCTGAATGGGTCATAGAATCATAGAACCATAGAGTTGGAAGGTACCATGAGGGTAATTTAGTTCAAACTCCTGCAATACATACTGATGGCTAATTATTTTAGCAGGTCACTTAAATGCAGTGCCTGGTTCATGAGCAGTGCCCGATTTACATATAAGCTAAACAAGCTATAGCTTAGGGCCCCACTCTCTTGCCCCCCCCAAAATACTTCTTCTTAATTGTATTTCATATCAACAATTACTTTGATAAAATACATATTTTGTTATGTGCAAATGGCTTTAGATACCTATTAGGTCCATAAATTACCATATAGCATATATTCAACACAAAAAAACAGTGACGATTTGTTGTTGACAAAGGACAGCTGGACATATAAAGGGCCCCATTAGCTTCAGTAGCTTAGGGCCTCATCAAACCTAAATCCAGCTCACGAGGTGCATCTAAATTGTTTACAACAGTGCTATCAGTTAACCAAGTGAACAATTAAGCATCATGAAAATGCAGCTGTATCTTAAGGTGGCAGTGGCGGAATGACTTAATTGCATCAGTTTGTTGCTTAGGACAAGGAGGGCAACACACAGGACTCCAAAGCCCAGGAAGCCCCAGTCCCCTTTTCCTACAATCAGCCATCAGCTGGGTGTCCAGGAAGAGTGTACTGTTCCCACACTGCTAATAGCAACAGTAATATCGTGTAAATAGGAAACACTGGGGAGCAGGCTTTAACCTACCCCCCACAGTACTCCCAATCCAAGGAGGTTCACTGCCCCTATGTTGATAATAGCTGCATAGAGACAGCAGTTTGCAATTTTAATGGGGTGGTAGATGTGTGGGAATTACATTCCCCAAACAGCTATCTCCTCCTTTGAATCATGGAGCAACCTGCACTCACCTAATTGCCCACAGCAAGTTGGGACTGAGTGAATAGCGCTCATCCCACCCTCTGAACACAATATAATCATGGCAGGAGGAAAGGGGAGCTACATGAACGGCCCTACTATTGGGCAAAGTGGCATAATCTCCTCAGGGAACAGATGCTGTGGGGCAGCAGTGGAACCCCCCTGGGTGTTCCTCCTAAACCCCTGCCCCCCAGGACCGGTCTCATCTGTTGGAGAGCAGAATTGTGGGTTACACAACCTGTCCCCGTCCCCTAAACTAGCTTGCTGTGGTGTTGGCTGCTGTCCTGTCACTAGTGCTGAAGTAAGATTCGGCAGCCAGGCTGTTTGACTTCAGTATGTGGAATGTGCCAGGGAGGAACCATCATGTCCTTCACCTCAGGCAGCAAAATATCTTGGTCTGGGAAGCTAACGGTAAGGCAATGATACGTGGAGGGGAGCTAGCAAGCAGCAGGGAGAACAGGGCAGTGAGCCAGCAGTGGGACAGGTGAGCAGGTAAGTTCCTCCTCTTTGTGTCTTTGTGCAAGGCTGTTTTATGACTGAATTCCTTTAGAAAGGAAAGGAAAGCTGCCATGGTGGATAAAGTACCTTGTAAAGGGTAACCGGCGCTCATTAATCCCATCTCATAATCATCTTTTCCTTCGGCATCCACTCTCTTCTCTTCTGCCTCTCCTCCAACCTTCCCAGCGGCATTCTTCTTTTCTTCATCTACATCAACAGCTTGAATGGCATCAGCAATGATATCTGCCATCTCGTCCAGCTCTAGCGGGCTCAACTTATCTACATCCACATGATGTTTCTTCAGGTCCCTCAGAACATCCTGAATAAATATTTCTTGGGAAAGGAGGGAGGGAGGGAGGAGAAACTTGATTACTTATGAAAAGTCTGATGGTATGTGCAAGGAAAAGAGAAACAAAGCATTGTAGTCTCTGCTCCAGTCCTCAGTAGGAGCTATTTAATTATCTATGAAGTCTCGACTACATTATTCTGTGCTAATCTGTATTCATAAATGTAGCCTTGGTAATGTTTTTTTCCTCTCTTTCCTCTTATTCAAATGTGTTTATTGAATAGTTTCAATGTTACTAATTCATGGGATTATCTTCTTATATGAATCAGTAATTAGATCACTTTTCTCACTGGACATGCCTTGCCCTACTGAAACAATTGATTTGGGATAAATTAGTGGCGAAACTTTTCCCAGACCAATATGGCTTATCCAGGAAGGCCTGTATCCCGAGGACAAAAAAAGTGTTTATTTTATCACATTAGTGGTCTCTCCCTCCCCTCCCCATTACAAACCCTATATCAAGTCTTCCTAACAAAATCAACTTATGCTGTACTAAAGCTGCTTAACTATAGAAATAAATTATGATTACACTCAGTCAACCATAATGTAGTTTTTGCAGAGTAAAAATAGAGGGCACATCAATATAATTACATATAAGAAACATGCAGTCTGCTGAAAAAAATAAAAGGACCAAAGCTATTTTTCTACTAGGTGTCCCCAAAAGAAGCAGAGACTGTAAATAAATCACCACCGCTGAATTATGAAGCAGCAATATCAATTTGACTTACCCAGTCATGTAAAGGGCTTAACTGGAGGGTGGGGGAGGCAATGGGGAGATCTCAAGAGTATCATGGCCCAACCCTGTGAAGTCTATCCAGTACTGGCCATGAAACAGAGAGCTCTCGTTGGAATCTTATCATTCTACCCGACACAAATTTCCAAGTGGAGCTTCCCACAGTCTCCAAACAGGACAGGTTGTTCAAATATCTACAATGAACCAATCAAAATGCAAGGTGCACCAGCCAACAAAATTGCCTTAAAACTCTCCACTCAGAAGTTCCCAACTTGAAGAGACAAGGAGCATCACAAGGAGCAGCTCAGAGGAGATTGCCATGTTTTAAAACTGTCATGGACTGGCTGGATGTGGAGGAGTGTGGGAGGCACCAGCCAAAGAACCCCCAGGGGAAGAAGGCTCAGAGCCAAGGGATTGGTGGTGGGACAACGATGAGTCGTCAGAGGGGGAAGGAGTAGACAGGGAGGAGGAGGTGGCAGAAGCAGAAGAGGTAACAGGGTTTAGTGAACAGGAAGGAGCTGCAGCAGAGCACAGTTCAGACTCTGAGCAGAATCCAGGGAGTATCACTCTCCTGCTGTGACCAGCTCCCCTCCCTTCTGGTCTCCTGGAACACAGAGAGAAATGAAACGGGAAGAGTAGAGGGTTGTTGTGCACAAACGAAGCCTGAGACTGCATGGGAAAGACCCTGGAAAGGAGGAGTCCTACTGCAACTGCTTCATCATGGTAAGACCTCCTGGAAACCACTAGGCTGAGCTGTGGTTTGTTTCCTTGAATAAAGAGTTAACTTCACCGACCTCGGGTGCATTATTGCTTTGTTGGCGACCTACGCCTGACTCCCAGCCCTGACAAAACTTCCTATAATTTCAGTTTAAGCCCTACAGTTTTCAGCCACCAACATGCTTGCCCCGATTATATTTGAAGTCATATTGCTGCTGCCAACAGAATTCGCACATACAGGTATTCCAGGTGCTGCTCACTGTAAAGGTAAAGGTACCCCTGCCCGTTCGGGCCAGTCTTGCCAGACTCTGGGGTTGTGCGCCCATCTCACTCAAGAGGCCGGGAGCCAGCGCTGTCCGAAGACACTTCCGGGTCACGTGGCCAGCGTGACAAGCTGCATCTGGCGAGCCAGCGCAGCACACAGAACGCCGTTTACCTTCCCGCTGGTAAGCGGTCCCTATTTATCTACTTGCACCCGGGGGTGCTTTCGAACTGCTAGGTTGGCAGGCGCTGGGACCGAACGACGGGAGCGCACCCCGCCGCGGGGATTCGAACCGCCGACCATGCGATCGGCAAGTCCTAGGCGCTGAGGTTTTACCCACAGCGCCACCCGCGTCGCTGCTCACTGTGGTACTTGCTAAACAACCATTCAGAATTAACCGAGCTACTCACTACCAGATAGCCAACTGCTTGGTGGGGCTGACCTGTCTTGTATATGCAGGCTCCTGCCTGCCTGGAAAAGGACAGTTATTTTTTGTTGCTGAAATATAATTTAATATCTAATGATATATCCGTCCTAATTTACATTTATAATAATAATTTATATTTTTATGACCTAATCTTCATCAATATCAGGAAATAAATATGCCATTGGCTTGTCTTTTAACACACGCACGCTGATCTCATTTGTTTATGCTACAATACAAAATGTAAATAAATGTTTTCTGAACTATATTGGATCTTCTGTCTGTTCAAATGAGAGCTTTAGCTGCGTTTTGTTCTGATGTATGTCAGATGTGGACAGAGTAAAGGAAATGAGTTTATCAATGACCCCCAAAGAACATAAATGGAAGATGACATCTGAGGCAAGATGAGAAAAAGCAGAGATTTCTACAAAGAAAATCAAACAACAGACTTCTGAATGTGTTATTAACAGATGTTTTCAAAGGAGAAAATATTAAAAGATATTGGAGATGAAAAATACATAAAGTAAACAAAAGTAAGTGGAGGAATCTGAAAAGAGATAGCCAACAGTGCCAAAATATAGGTAATAGACTGAGAACATTTTTGCCCAGTCCAGAATGAAAAGCAACCCATTGTTTCTTGTTACGTAAATAAGTCTGCATGAGCTTGGGGTGGTCACTAACTCCCCTCCTCTCCTCTTTTGTGAAATGAGAAGACCGCACAGAAATTATTTTAAAAAGCATATCCACTTCCACTTTTTTTTTAAATGGTTGTTTTTTAATTGGTTTATTCTTTTTGTAAACCACTTGGAGGTTTCTTTGTGGGGGATTTTTTACAATCAAGCAGTATATAAATATTAAAAAAGGTAAAGGAACCCCTGACCATTAGGTCCAGTCGTGGTTGACTCTGGGGTTGCGGCGCTCATCTCGCTTTATTGGCCGAGGGAGCTGGCGTACAGATTCCGGGTCATGTGGCCAGCATCACTAAGCCACTTCTGGCCAACCAGAGCAGCACACAGAAACGCCATTTACCTTCCCGCCAGCATACCCTCTGATTGGCAAGCCCAAGAGGCTCAGTGGTTTAGACCACAGCGCCACCCCGTGTCCCATATTATGGAATAGGATGTCCCTATTTGCATTGGAGAAATGTTGGAGGATATGGAGATGATGCAAAAGAGTGAAAAAAGAATGGGGAGGGAAGAGGAAAGTGAGAATTGGGGCAGCTGCACCTTAACTGGCTGGTGGATGGGACTAGGTTGGTCTCCTTGTCGTTATATTTTTCTCTGGAGGCAGGAGGTGCAGCCTTTCAAATGGCTCAAGATCATGTGGATGGTGGCAGAAGCCAGTGTGTGGCTCAGTTGTTAAAAAAACCCCACAACTTGTGGGTTTGATGAAGGCGTTGTGAGGCAGTGTACGTATTCTGGGTGACAAAAGGAAGATGGGCCTAAGTCCCTTGAATGATATAAGGGGCACTATGAATCCCAGAAATGAACTGAGCTCTCTTATGTTCAGCTATTTATTTATTTATTTATTTATTTATTTATTTATTTATTTCCTAATATTTATATAAGGGACGCGGGTGATGCTGTGGGTTAAACCACAGAGCTTAGGACTTGTCGATCAGAAGGTCGGCGGTTCGAATCCCCTGACGGGGTGAGCTCCCGTTGCTCAGTCCTTCTCCTGCCAACCTAGCAGTTCGAAAGCACGTCAAAGTGCAAGTAGATAAATAGGTACCGCTCTAGTGGGAAGGTAAACGGTGTTTCTGTGCGCTGCTCTGGTTTGCCAGAAGCGGCTTAGTCATGCTGGCCACATGATATGGAAGCTGTACGGCGGCTCCCTCAGCCAATAAAGCGAGATGAGCGCCGCAACCCCAGAGTCGTCCGCGACTGGACTTCTCCAATGAAAATAGGGACATCCTACCATAGCTTCCAACATTACTCCAATCAAAATAGGGACATCCTAAGGAAAAGCAGGACATTCTGGGATCAAATCAGAAACTGGGACAGCTTCTGTAAATCTGGGACTGTCCCTGGAAAATAGGGAGACTTGGAGGGTCTAAGCCTGAAGGGAAGGACTGCCTTATCTTGTAATGTGTGCACAGCACCCAGAAACAATGTAGGCACTTATAAATGTTAATAATAATAATAATAATAATAATAATAATAATACTCTATTCCTGGTAGACAAACCCAGATTGAGTTGTTTATCTTTTTGTAACTTTGGGGGATTTCTGCCACGTTTTTAATATATATATATATATATATATATATATATATATATATATATTTGAAATGCTTTAAAAAATTACTATAATGAGCCCTATTCATTTGAGACATGGTGGGATAACATTTAAATGAATGAAACATTTACATTAACAGCCATAATTACATACTTCTATACAAAAGCACCCCATGGTGCAATCAAGCTTGCAAATATAATCACAGACGCTAATGACCCACAACCCTAAACTTATCTACTTTAGTCATCTGTGGCCTAAATGCCGTGGGACAGGTAGAAAGAACTGTATTTTGCAAAACGTCTCACTGGTCAGAAGCAAACTTTTTTTTACTTGACTTGGGTGAGCTGCTATTTGCAAGTCTGGGGTAAATTCTGTTGAAAAACCAAGTGGGTCGTGCCATGAGAAACCCCATGGTGGACGGATGCCTTATGCCCAGAAGTGGAAGGAAGAGGAAGTCCCAACCAATGAAGATTGGATAACCAAGATGATGGACTATGCCGAACTATGGCGAAGAGCAGACACCAAGATGATAATTTTTTTAGTAAAGAGCGAGAAAAATGTACAGAGTACAGTATCTTAAAGCTCACTGTAGATATTTAAAAAGGTTAGCAGGAT